TCTACCATTCACCTCATGACTGATTGGTCTCTTTATCTGAGCTAACAGAGATCATCTTAATTGTAATGTTGAGCTGCTGGTCCTGGGGAATGTTAACATCAATGTGAAGAGTACTCTGACTGGGCAGCTCAGTATTTCGTTCATTCCATGATTACCATGGGATTGTCTCAACATGTTGACTTAACACATCCAGATTTTTTTTTTCAGGGACAGTGATCTGAAGGTTGGGTACTTTGAATCATTCCTTGAATCAGTCCAATCAGCTCATTGCCTGGTGAGATTTAGACTAAAAGTGACTTTTGTCCTCTACAAGGATGGGGAATCAATTAAGATCCATCCTCAGAGGCTGATGGATCCAGATGGTTTCCAGTGAGCTCTTGGGGAATTTCCAGCTAGTGCTCCTGTCAAATCCCTGGTCAGCCTCTGGGACACAGAGGTGATGCAGGAGTTTGGCATTATCACTTCTTAGCACTCTCTTTGTAGTGAAGTTCATATGGCTTCATGGGATACTCCAGATCTGTAAGTGATGAAGCAAAACAGGAGACAGCTTAAGTGCAGATGGAGAATAACTCATAGCAGATACAGTCAAGCTCTTATATGTGCCTAGAGGCAGTGAGAGCAGCAGTGAAACAATACCTCACTGCCTTTATTCAGTTTTAGCTTTGCTGCTCAGCAGAGCTCTCATCCAGCATCATCCAGGCCCTGCTACATGCTGGCCCCATGAACATCTTAGAGCCAGCTGCAGTACATTTGCTAAGGACTTCCAATATAACATCTCTTGCACCAATTTATATTTAAGACTCCAGTGTTACCACAATAGAATCAGGAGTGATACCCAGAACAGTCTGCTCAAGTGTTCTTGGATAAGATTTAGTTAGTACAGCTTGAGGATGCTGGCAAAGTGCACAAATTTGTGCAACCATGCCCATACAGAAAATTGGCTCAGGGAGATAATTAATGCCTCTTTATGAAAGCGAGTGGTCCCAAACATGTGGTGCTGAGGCCAATACTGAAGAAGACTTCTCTGGACCAGAAAATTTCAGTAATTGGCAAATACACCCTTCCTGGGCAAGGTTCCTAAGGGGGTGCTGGCCGGTCAGCTCCAGGCACTCTTGAATGAGAATGATTGTGTGGATCCATTTCAGATGCAGCTTAGGCTGGCCTTTAGCATGGAAACAGTTTTGGCCTTCTTGTATGATGACCTGTGCTTAGAAAGAAACCAGGGAAGTGTTACCCTGTTGGTAATCCTGAATTTCTCACTTTTCAGTACCATTGACATGGTATCCTTCTGGGGAAACTGGCTGAGTTGGAAGTATGGGTTAAGCACTGCAGTAGTTCCACTCCTACATAGACATCCGGCTGCAAGAAGTGATGCAGGGGGGATACTGCTCATCCCCTTGAGCTCTCCAGTATGACGTTCCTTGAGTCTTGTGCCCCATGGTGTTTCTCATCTGTATGAAACTTCTGGGTAGCATCATCCAGAGTTTTGGTGTGCAGTGACATCAGCATGCTGATGATACACAGTTCTATTTCTCCTTTTCATCTTCAGCAGGTGAAGCTATAGCAATGAACTAGATGAAAGTTAACAAATGGAAGCTCAATCTAGACAAGACTGAGATGCGTTCGGTAGATTATTCCTCTGACCAAATGAATGGTTTTTAGGATGTTTTGGATGAGGTGGAACTCCCCTTAAAGGAGCAGGTTCATAGTTTGGATGTGCATGGAATGCCTTCTAGAAGCTTTCGGCAGGGATAGCCTGGTTTCAGTAATCTACACTTTAGTAATGTCTAAGTAGATTTTAGGGGGCAGCTCTTGAAGACTGTAAAGACTGTGCAAAATCTGATAGCTAGTTTAATAACAGCGACCAGAAAGTCTGAACACATAACACCGATTCTGACCCACTTGTATTGGCTACCTACGTGCTTCTGATCCCAACTCAAAAGGTGCTGGTTTTAATCTAAAAATCAAAAAACAACCCTACACAGCTTGGAACCACAATGCTTGACAGAATGCCTCTTCCAACCACAATGTACCTGGACATTATGATCCTTGTCTGATAGCATGTCCCCTGACTTATCTTTCAGCATTCCCAGCCTAGATTTGAATTCCCCTTTGTTTTCTTGGATCTTCTAAAAGAGATCTCTTATTCTTCCGCTTTTGTTGTTCTCTTTTATATCTCTTTGCACTGGACATTGTAACAATTCTTGTTATCTCTACATGATAGTCACTGAAAAGTTGCATTCAGGATTTTGACCCTATTTCTGTCACCTTTTGCTTTTGTTTCTTGCTTTTCCCTTGCAAACTTAAGTATTTCTTCTGTCATCAATCTAGTCTTTTTTTTCCCTTTTTGCTAAAGGAATTGACTTTTAGTGTTCTTCCGTAATAACATCTCTGGCTTCAGTCCACAGTTCTTCCTCACAGTCAGTTAAGTTCAATAATGAAACTCTGTTTTTTATGTGTACTTTTAAATTCTCAGGAATTTTATTTAAGTTGTAGTGTGGCACTGTGCTTCTGTTAATGAACCTTTTCAGCTTTGCTCTGCCTTTTGATTTCATAGTTCATAGTCACTACTGCAGTTGCTCCTGGTCTTGTTTTGGCAATGAGAATAAAACCTCTCCACCTTTTACATCTAATATAGTCTTTTTGACTTCTGTGTTGGCTTTCTGCTGCTTGAAGTAGATATTTGTGCTGTACAAATCGCTGGCTTCACAAAATTCTATGAGTCATTGGAGTGTTGAGTTTTGGTGCAATGTCAGAGGCAAGAAGAGAAGTACAGCTCCACTTTAGCTTAAAACCAAGAGCTTCCTACATATAGCTAATGTATGAATAGATCTAGAGTATGCTGCACAACAGCTGAAGAGTAGCAGATTTAGCAGGCCAGACAATGGAGAAGTAGAACACCGGAGGCAAGGTGATACCGGAGGAAAGGTTGGCGCAGTCCCAAGACCTGGGAAAAGACAGGAAAAAATAGGGGAGATGGAATATCACAGGCTGCTTCAGTGTGATCTGATCAGACTTTATCTTGCAGATCTCTAGTACAGTAATAGTTCGCTTTTTGTGGTTCTGTTCCTGTGCTGTCAACAGAGCCATCCCTGTAATAAAATATGACTGGGTATGCTCAAGTTCATATATTTAAAACAAGAATAGGATTGCTTTTACATTCTGAGTAAGGCAGACTACAAATATTTAAAAGAGTTCGTACGGATTGTGTCCAGTTAGTTATGTTAACAGACACATTCACAAGTTATATTAAATCTGTGTGTTCATGCTGTGTGTGCACATGGTCAGGGGTAGATTCTTTGTATGTTCATAATAACTAATGCACATGGAGTAGAATCCTATTGCATCCAGCTGCAAATGCATTGAATGATTGGTGAGATTGTTGTCTGTGCTGATGAATATATAACATTGTTATATAAACCCATAAAATATACAATGAGTTGTGGTGCTGAGATGCTGCCATAGCCCTTTTTGTGATGCTATCTTTAAAAATCTGTATATTTAAGACTGGCCTACTATTACTGATAATCGTTTGTGTAGAATGAATAACTTTTTCAGAAAGCCCAATTCTATGTAAACTTCACTGAACAAAGCAGAACTTACTACTGTGCAAATCAGAGTAGCAACAGTATGTCTTTACCAGTCACATAAATTCAAAACAAACAAACAAACAAATCTTCCCATGTAATCCAGATTAAAAATTCCTTATTCCAGCAGCAACATTCATTTGAAGGAATGCACTTTATTTGGCAAACGGTTGGACTGCAAGGCGATCAAACCGGTCAGTCCTAGAGGAGATCAATCCTGACTGCTCTTTAGAAGGCCAGATACTGAAGGTGAAACTCAAATACTTTGGCCACCTAATGAGAAGGAAGGATTCACAGGAGAAGAGCCTGATGCTGGGAACAATAGATGGCAAAAGAAGAAGGGGACGGCAGAGAATGAGGTGGCTAGATGGAGTCACTGAAGCAGTTGGTGTGAGCTTAAGTGGACTCCGGGGGATGGTGGAGGACAGGAAGACCTGGAGGAATGTTGTCCATGGGGTCGCGATGGGTCGGACACGACTTCGCGGCTAACAACGACAACAAGAACAATGAGACTATCATCCAAAAATCCTTGTAAGAACTCATGTACACTTCATTATGTGTACTGAGCTACTGTCTGCACATGATATGCAAGATGTTGAGAGCATTTTACAAACAGCATTACTATTTCTGCTTACTCAGAAGCATATTGAAAAGAAGAGGTCCATATCTTTCAAGGACATCTTTCTCTCTGTGCCTTTTCTTGCCTTTTTTCCAACCAGATTTTGTACTAGGTTATGTCTTTTAAAAGTAAAAGCGCTTCTCCCATTGAGATCCACTTTTATTTCATACTTGGCCCCCTTTTTACTGCCATAGTGGAAGAACCTTCTGTTTCAAATAATTTTTCAGCAATGGAGTATACAAAGGCTGGAAAGGGATGGTTAACTGTACAGTACCAATGCCCATTTCCAACTTCTAGATCAGTCTAAACCTAGGCTTATTTCCAGACCATACCTATTTGAAATTAACCTCCCTGCAAACCATGGATTCTGCCTACTGAGCACAATTATTCACTTAACATGAACAACTTCATGGGCATTGTTTGATAAAAGGGAAAACAAGCCACTAGCCTCTGCTTTCATTGCACACTGACCTTGGAGAGGATTAGAACTTGCTTGTTGCAGAAGCTGAGCATCTGATGTGCCACTGCAGATGCAGCTGTTAGTTCTCTCATTTTAAATCAGAAAGGATTCCTGGTGCCCTTTGGTTTCATGGCAGGTAAAATATTTTACGCACCTGTACAATGTGGTCAAAGCAGCAGTACCGTTATTTGCATTAAAAGCATACCTGAAGTACTGGGTGATGTCAACCTTTTGAAATTATCTAGTTTTATGTCATTTCGGTTCTCAGAAACATTTCCCATTCCCCCATTTCCTAGCTGCAATCATCCTAGTTGTGTATTCCTTTTCACTGCAGAGACACTGAATCAAGCACCTCCTTCTGTAAAGCTGGAAGAGGTTATTCATTTAGCGGAGCTCTGCATTGAAGTCCTGCAGCAGAATGAAGAGCACCATTCAGAGGTGAGGATAACGGCATTAGCTGTACAATAATGCTTGATAGCCACCCTGTACAGCCTCAGTGTGAAGCAATTCTGTCCAGAAACATTACAGCTACAGCCTCTGACATATGTTAAAGGCAATTCACATTTGCAGAGCTGTAATAGTTTTGAAGGTTATGAAAAGTGAAGTGAAATAAAGCTCTGCTTGGATTTTCCCTTGAATACGCTTCAGGTTTGAACATTTGAAATTAAAAAAATAAAAATAAAAACCAGATTAAATGGAAGGCAGAGGCAGAAATGCTTCTGGCCATCAGTGTGAAATCATATGAAGAACACAGCACAAACAATCCATCCAACTTCTCATCTCTGATTAAAAATGAGAAAGAAACAGCAAAATAGTCCAATACTAGGTGTAAATATGGCAACCATGTTTAATATTGTTGTTCTAAGTAGGACATGTAATCTGTTCTTTTAAAAAGGCATACAATCCAAGTGGATCTTTCTTAAAGAATATATTTCTAAACTGTTTCCACCGAAGGCATATAAGACAGTTTCTTTTACAAGAATTAAAAATTTCCTTTTATTTTACAAAATGAACAAATGAATTTTATACCTGTGCATTAATGTTGTTGTTGGCAATCTAAAAGTTTGATCAACTAGCTCTCAGTGATGCATAGAGCTAGTTGGAAGGAAGTTCATATTTTTAAAATAAAAACCTTTATAATTTTTTCTGGGAAAGCATACAAAATAGTAAGCTAAGATGTAGCGTCTATAAATATGATCATTCAAAACATCTGCTTTTATCTCACACTGTCGATTCTAGATTTTAGCTTACATCTGTCATGTGTGAACTTGTTATGGATATTTTATTTTATACTGAAGAAACAGCTGCTTCAGTAATTTGAAATGAATTCCCGAGAGGCATTATTCTGCACTAGTATTGCCACTGTGTTATGCTGTAAATAATTACTTAATAAAATGTATATATGAATTTTATCTTCTGAAAATATGCATTAAAAGAAAACTTTTTAAACAAAAGAAGGTCACCATAAATTCCAGAAATTATTGTTACTGAAATACATTTTTTTATTCTTAATGTGCAATTAATTTTATTACATACTACCCCTTCTACAAAGAATAAAAAATCAATAGACTATAATATATGGCTATTTATTTCTAATGTTTTAACCTGTCAGTGCATAATTCTGACAAATACTTTTCTAAAAAAACCTACATCACAATACTTGGAAGTAAGCTTACACCATTAGAGAGAATGTGATTCTTGTACAATAGTAGAAAAAGTGTGCCTCTAATTTGCTGTTTTAACAATTTAACTTTTCCCCCCTGTTCCACAATACTTTCAAAATTATGGATTCCCCCAGGGAAAAGAGGTATGTAGCTCATCCCCACCAAGGAAGGCCATTTTTTTCATGGTTCCATGCATGGAATTGTTAAGCTCTTTTGATCGTGTGGCATCAATTCCATTCACTCATCATTTTCTTTTTCTATATTTATCCTTTCTTCAAAACTAGCTGCTAATATTGCTAACTCTTTAGTGCGATTCCATGGATCAACAGTTAGCCTTAGCTCTGAGGGACATGATCTGGCTTCAGGTCCCTCCTCTAAAGTAGTACTCCTGAATAGCCTTTAGCAAGTCACAACGTTCTGTGAGATCAAAGCAATACGCACAGCAGACTGGCACTTCTCAGGGAAAATGCTGAGCTAGGTTGGAGTTCTGTGTCTCATACACAGTGCTAAATGCTTTGCTGGAGCCAAGAGGCAACTCCACTCATTGAATATTCCAGCATGGCTGCAGATGTCAGCTGGGCAGTGTGAGGGAATCTGTTCTGAGAGATCCCTGAGGGGGAGCTGTAAGGAAAGGACAAAAGCCTGGTGCCACCTCAGCCAGAGCATTAGCAAAGCCAAACAACTGTGGAGCATTTTAGTGCCATAATTTATATAGTGCATGTAGCAACTGTTGCTATATAGTGCGATATAAATTACAGATAGCAGCCAAGCAATCTAACAGATCAGCCTTTAATCTCATACAGTAACTTTCTCTTTTCTTCCTAGAATGCATGTGATAAATCACTAATTGCATTCATCTTGGTGTCTTGTTATAGTCTTATTGATGGAACAATATTGTGTCTATGGTATTTGTCTAATTTTATCACGTTGTCCCTCAGCACCAATGGGTCAAGAGTTTTTCTCCAATTCAAGGGAATTTCTTCTCACTAATGTTTGTTTTACAAAGTTGTATGGAAACAAGGATGAAATATACTGGCTCCTGTACTACATTTTAATTGCATATATGTTCAAAAGAGGATTTGTAGTAATGAATACATTTCCTCACTTCTTTCCCCCAAGTAACTGGAGGAAGACTAAAGGAAGCTGTGCTAACACATGTGTGCCCCTTTTCCTGCACCCGCAAAGTCATTCAAATTAACTGGGCGGGGGGTTGTTCTAAACATTTATTTTAATGTATTTCCATTTCAAAGAACTTTGTATATTTTTGGTTAGACAGAGGAGGAATTGTCTTAAATACTTTCATATGGGAGCAGTCATACTTGACTTTGGTAGTGTATTTTCAAATGATTATAAGAACTCATGGTATTCTCAGAAAAATCATTTCCAGTGGTTAGCAGTATACCTTTTTAATCTACAGTTAGATTTTCCATGTCCTCCCACAAATTTGACAAATAATATTGTAAGAGTGTGAGCATGTGACACCTATGAATACATTTGAAATACTCATTAATTTTGGACATTTTGTTGCTTTGTTTAAATGATACTGCCTTTCATTAAAATATGGATTTAAAAGCACAGGAAAACAAAAAAAAAAAAATTCTGCCTGGTACCAGAAGGGTAAAAGTATTGGTGCTAGTTCAGTTGCTTCAGTGAGGGAGGAAATTCCAAAAATGAGGCATCGCCACAGAGAAAGTCAGACTAGACTGGGATTCAGGAGATCTGAGTTCTATTCCCCACTGGGCCATGAACATCACTGGGTGACTTTGGGCCATTCATGGACCCGTTGCCTAACCTACTCACATGGCTGTTGTGAAAAAAGCAGGGGGAAAGGTGGGGTATAAATGAAATAAATAAAAAGGCTTCAGTGATAGCTCTGCCTAATTGACCACTTGTTGGCAAAGCTGGCTGTATGAACAGAATGCTGGATTAGATGGGCACTTGGTTTGATCTAGCCCTAATCTCTTCTTGTGCTCTTATGTTCAAATACAAAGTCATGAAGAAATTTAACACCTGTGTTTCATTACTAGGTGAGTGCAGTTGTTCTTCCAAAGTTAATCAATGCAGGCCAATTCCAGATAAAATTATTGTGATGTAATTGGGTATAAATTGTAAGCTTTGCCATTACAGTCAAAATATAATAATTTACCCTTATAAATAATTGTAAATATTTTTATTTACATCTTTGTCTCTCAATTTCTTATGCATTTATTATTTATACTGCTCCATTTCTAGGCAGATTCCATAGTGGTGAACAGTCAAAAGATAGAACAGATAAAAGAATAAAAGCAATAAAAGAATAAAACAGGTAAAGGAATAAAAACAATATGTCAAATATGTGGCTTTTCAGCAAGAAAGGCTTCTTATAACAAAGACATCACAAGCAACAAAATATTGGTGCTTGCCACTCTAGAAGAGGCAGGTAGTCTCATAGAAATGGGGCCAACACATTCTGCTGGTGAACCCCAGTTGGGCCATAGGTTCATGTGGAACTTACAGGAGAATGTCCTCCAGTGACTTCACTTACCAAGCAGTTTCATGGTGTCCTGGACCCAAGCTGTTCAGGGCTTTGTATGCCAGCACTAGAACTATAAACCTGGCCCATTAACAAATAGGGTGCCAATGTAGTTCCTTCATTAAAAGAGTTGCATGCTGATTTCTGGTATGTCGATAGACAGAACAATATAAAGAGCTTCTACATTCTGAACTGACATCAATATTCTGGTCTATCGAGCAGTATTCTGATCCATTGATAGCTTTCCAATGTCTTAGGCAGAGTTTCCAGTCTATTAACTTAAGATTGTTTACATGAGAGACTTCTTTCAGCAGAACAGAGTGGGAAGCCATTTTCACCTGTGCCCCTGTAGTTCTTGGCACCTTCACCCAGATTTGCTCTGGTGGGTTGAAGGACACTTTGGGACAGCATAAGAAGTGAACTAGGGATTGCTTGGGATAAGAGAATTGATGAAAATCACTTCTCTCCTCATTCTGTTGACCTTTGCTGGATCAAAGAGCCTTCTTATCAAAGAGGGATATGATTGGAAGCAGGATTGGAAGTTAAAGGAATTCATAGTTCGTGTCAGGTGATTAAGCACATAATACTTTACATGCTGGTTGGAGAACCCTGGGAGCTTGTAGGACTTTTTCAATCCCAAGCATTCATAAGATTGTGCTATTACACGATTCAATCTGCATCCATTTGTACAAGTGAAAAAACACAAGTGCTTAAGAACAAAATTATTTCCTTTTTTTTTTAGCCAATTTTGTGACTGGCTTCAATTCAAAGAATCAGGTTATTTTTTCCAAACAGGAGGGGAATACCTCTTTTAAGGCACCTCTGCTATCTGCAAATATAGGACTTGATCCTTTTACAATGATTATAAGCCCCCAAAACCAATGGGTTACCGTCATTCAGAGAAGAAGCAGAGGTGATATCTCCATCCTCCTGCCCTGCATTTTTGCTAGACATGCTTTTTGTCCATCATCAAGCTGAAACACTTCAAAGAGGGATGGCGTGAGACTGAAGAGGCCTTAGGACCACTCTCATCATGGCCTTACAAGCTCCCGCCCCCTACCCCACCCACTGACCCCTCTCAAAAGTTGCATACCTAACCTCGGGGAGGAAGCCAATGCAATTCTTTTCATGTCAGCTGTGAGGGGGAGTGCAATTCCTAATGCAGAGGTTGGAGCACTATCTCAGATCTTGGAGCTGGGAATCTGAAATACCTTATTGTACCTCAGGTACTGCCTAGGGGTCATATTTCTTCTTTGATTCTATCTAGAATCTACTCCTCAATTAATCAGGGGTACAATTTTAGACAATAAAACTGTGTTAATCAATGAAGCATTGCTGCTGCAATTGAAATGTTTATACACTTCATTATTTGCACAAGTTTGCAAAATTCAGCTTTTCCTATTTCAAAATTTTAAGCAGAATACAACTTGCCATAACTAATTTAATGTTAATTTTCATTTATTTCATCATATTTTGCATTCATGCATGAAGGAAAATGTAAATTGGATTTCTTCTCTGACTTTTGTGTTTTAAAATTGTGTCTTAATTATGATGCAGGCATTTGCGTGGTGGCCGGACTTGCTGGCTGAACATGGAGAGAAATTTTGGGCTCTTTTTACGGTTGACATGGATTCAGCACTAGAGGCACAGGTGCAAGACTCCTGGGATAGTTTCCCTCTTTTCCAGTTACTAAATAACTTCCTGAGAAATGACCGTAAGCTCTTTAAGTGTTTGGTTATTGTGTTAGCTGTTATTATTTTTGCTTTTCCACTGTTGTCCAGACTAGGTTAAATCAGAAATTCATATACATACTTCTTTTCATCCTGCCTTTCTATGTAGTCATTAAGATTTTGATCCTATATACTTTTGCACAGGACTAAGCCCTGTTGGACTCAATGGGACTTACTGCAGAGTGCCCATGTGTAAGCTTAGACTGGAAGGCAGCTAGCAATCATTTATGTAAAGGTGATTTTAAAATTCCTTGTCACATTACAGTCATTATTGTAAATTAGAAAAGGCCTTCTTTGCAGGCATCTCTACAGACTGGTTTTAGCAAATTTACCGTTGAATAGAATCCCATAATTCCTGAGTGAAATTTGTCATATAATGACCCTTGCTCTGATTTCTTCTATATACTACAGAAAAGGTCAATGTTCCCTGGCGGAGGGCTTAATCTCTTCCTGCCATAGAAATCCATTTCTGATTATTCCAGATGATCAATTCAGCAGCCAGCCTTCCTTGACATAAACTTTTTTGAGCCTTACTTCTCTGTCAAGCTTGTTTCCATTTCAGTTCATTTCCAAATGAATATTTAGGCTTAGCTTCTGTGTATCATGCCTATATGCATACATCTGTTTCTTGGCTAAGATCTGTCAAACTCTCTAATTAGCCATAAAATTAGAGCCATAGAGCCATAGAATTAATAGTAACTGCGAAATTATGATTACCAAATTCAGAAGAAGAAAGGACTGTAAACCATGGTTAGGTTGAAATTTTTTTTTTTTAGGTTGAAATTTTTTATTTAAATAAAAACATACTATAAACCATGGTTAGGGGTTACCTTGAGGTGACAACCATAGTTTCCCAGTTTGGATGGACTGGAAACCTATGGTTACTCTGAGATTTCTAGGCATAGAGACCAGGAAGCTATTAGGGAGAAGAGAGCTTCCTTCAAAAATTGGAAGGCTTGCCCAAATGAAAAGATCAGACAGGACTGTAAGTTTGCATAAAGGAGATGGAAGCAGTCAATCAGAAAAGCAAAGAAACAGTTGAAAAGCACATTGCTAACAATAGCAAGAGTTACAATAAAGAATTATCTAAAGAATTCTTTCAAAAGAAAGAAAGCAGCTAAGAAAACAGTTGAGTCATTGGATGATAATGGAATTAAAGGAGCATGAAGTGGGGACAAGGAGATTGCAGAGAAAGTGGATGAATTCTTTTCATCAAGCTTCACAGTAAAGATGAAGAGCAGATACCTGTCCCCTGAGGTTTGGATTATGAAAGGAAGTATGAGGAATTAAGGCAGACAGTAGTGACAAAAGAATAAACTCTCAATCTTATTGACAAACTGAAAATCAGCAAGTCATCCAGTCCAGTTGGTATCCATCCTAGAAGTATCAAAGAATGCAAGCATGAAATTGATGACTTTTTTACCAAAATATTTAACTTGTCCCTAAAATTAGCCAGGGCACCAGAGGATTGGAGAATGGTCAATGTAATACCAATTTGTTTAAAGGGATTGGGAAGTGGGGGGATCCAGGAAATTACAGGTTTAGTTTAACCTCTCTTCTGAGTAAACCGCTTGCCAGCATTTTGAAAGATAGGATCAGTAAGCACATAGAGGGACAAGCCCTGCTGGAAATAATTATCATGGCTTCCACCAGGAGTAGTCTTGTCTCACTAATCTATTGGAGTTCCTTGACAGTGTCAGCAAGCTTGTGGAAAGTGTCAATAAGCTTTTCTAAGCAGTAGACATTGTTTACTTGGACTTCTGAAAAGCTTCTGACAAAGCTCCTCACCAAATGCTCCTGAGCAAACTAGGTTGTCAAGGATTAAAAGTGGGGGATCCTCTTACGGATCATTACCTGGTTATAGAAGAGAAGACAAAAGGTAAGAATAAATAGCAATTTCTCCCAATGGAGAAATGTCACCTGTGGAGTCTCACAAGGATCTGTATTAGGACCAGTGCTTTTCAACCTATTCATAAATGAGCTAGAATTAGGAGTACATAGTAAAATGGCCACATTTCCGGTTAGCAGTAATTTTTTTAATGTGGTTAAAGCCAAAAGGGATTGTGAGGAGCTCCAAAGGGGTCTCTCCAAGCTGAGAGAATGAGCATCTAAAAGACAAATGCAGTTCAATATAAGCATATATAGAGTACTACAATTTGGGGCCCAAAAAAATCCCAACTTCATGTAAACACTAAGGGGATATGATCTAGCAGTGATTGAGCAAGAAGGGATCTTAACTACCCTAAGATCAGCTAATGTCAGCCAGCGATCAGCTGCTGTGAAGAAGGCAAAATCCATGCTAGGCATAATTAGGAACAGAACAGAAAATCAAACTGCCAAAATCTTGCTTCCCTGATGCAAACACACTTGGAATATTGTGTTCAGTTCAGGTCAGCCTATCTGAAAAAAATTTGGAAAACGTACAGAGAAGGGGAAAAAATGATCTGGTGGCTGGAGCAGTTCTCCCATGAGGAGTAGTTACAACAACTGGGACTGTTCAGCTTAGAAAAAAGGTGAGGAAGGGGTAACATGACAAAGGTCTTTAAAATAATGTATAGTGTGAAGAAAGCACAGAGGGATACATTTTTGCCCTCTCCCATAACACTAAAACCTGGGGTCATCCCATGAAGCTGATTGGTGGGAGGTTTAGGATGGATAAAAGGAAGTAATTCTTCACTCTGCATATATTTAAACTATGGAATTTGCTGCCACTGGAGGTTAGATGGCCGCCAATCTGGATAGCTTTAAAAAGGGATTGGACAGATTCATGAGGGATGTGGATATCAATGGCTACTAGCCTTGCTGGCTATGTGCCACCTCCTTTCCAGAGGTGGGCATGCCTGCATATGCCGGTTGCTGAGCAGTTTGGCAGGAAGTGGTCTTGCCCCCATCCTGCTCGAAGGATCCTGTGGGCAGCTCATTTGCCACTGTGCGTACAGAGTGCTGGACTAGATGGACCTTCACCCTGATCTAGCATGGCTTTTCTTATTCCTTATGTTCTTAATTGCACTGCATGGGGAAGAGAGAAGGGACTGTTTGTGTAGGCAGAAGGCATGGGCATATCTCAGCTGTTTAAGCCATGATACGATCACCCAAATATGGTGATTGGGAAAGCTCCTGCTATGCTTGTTTTATTCAGCCACAGTCTAAGAACAGCAAATGCAATGTCACACAAATAGCTCATAACTGTGAATGTTGCCTGAAGGCAAAAACATAACCTGTTATGGCATATTTTATTATGTATCATATAAATACTCAGCTAATTACATGGAGGAAGTGCTGAAGACCAAGATTTTCAGCCCCCACTGAAGATGTGCCATAACATTCTGGTCCTATGACCACCTCTCCCAACTCAGGTTCTTGTTACATCTGACCGCATTCTGCCTTCTTCTATATAGGAACATAATCTCTAAAGGTTTTAGTGTTCTATTTTATTGGAATAGGGCAACAGTAATAATAGAATCCAGAAAGAATAAGCCTGTGATCCTGTTCATATGTCACAGCTCCATCTAGCAGTAAACAGTGGAGTAATTAACTCATGCCTTGCCCCTGAGCATCTCCTGAGCATTAACACCACTCAAGGCCATTTTCGAGGGTTGTTTCTGTGAGGTTTGAACAACTGAGGTTGTTCAGAGGTTGAGGAATCTCAAGTCAAGCCATGGCTTATTTTTAGGTTAACTTGGAGCTGTTTAACTCACATGCCTCTGTTCTGACCTCAAAGAAGCAATCCTCAAAAGCAGCACTGTTGATGCAAACAGAAAGCAGCTCACACCCAGCATACATCCCCACAATTCATAGATTAATTAACCCTCCATTTGCAACCAGACATCATTATGTGTTAGACATTTCTCGACAGCACAACTGGATGTGATGCCTTGTATTCAAAATACACTGTGTCTGGATTATGCTTTCTCCCAGGCAAACAAGTATTACCAGCTAGACCTTCAAACAGGCATCACCAAAACGCTTGCATTAAAAAAAATCTGGAAGGCTTGCATTTATTCACTTTCTCTCCACCCGTCAATTAAAAATGTAATGACTTAATAATTATAAGGAAACCATTTCGAGTGACAAAACATTTCATTAAAATGGCAAAGCAATTATGAGCAGTATTATACAGTGTGACCGAGGGAGCCTGAAGTACTTGCAATTGCAGGGCTCACTGCTTTGGTGTTTTTCTTAATGTGAGAAAAGCCACTTCAGTAGAGCGTAGGAGCAAACAAGCACTGGACGCAGAAAGGGTTAACATTCCCTTTCACCCTGCTTCTTTATTCCAACTTGCTTCTTCTCAAAGTTGTTTCCCCCCCAACTGCATTGAAGTTCTGCTATGTGCATTTGTGAGTTTATATGTAATTAGCCTCTAAGAAGCAGCTGTTAAAAGTTGTGGATTATTTTTAAGCATTGCTCCAACTGTGGTAGGTAAAATGATCCTTCCTAGCAGAGAAACCATTGAGAATGCCACTACATGCCACTTAAAAGGATATGTGGGATGTAACTAAAATAAATAAACGGAAGCCATTTAGCTAATGGCAACATTTTTTTATTAGTACCGAATGGCAAGCCTTCATATAAGGATGGGTGGGAAATTTGTTCTGTTCATTTTAAAAATGGGATGGAAAAACTTGATATCCTAAAAAATGAATGTAGAAGCAAGTGAAACTGACAGACTGATGTTCCTCAACAGAAAATGTTGATTGCTTAGCTCTTCATAAATTCAGTTTGAACACAGAGTATTCAACCACGTTTATCAAGCTGAAGTAGGATTGCCAGCATCCTTTTTTCCTGACAGACTGCTTATCTCAACAGCTACATGACAGACAGATAAAGCTTTTCCATGCTGTGCATAATTTTACCAATTGCATTTGACCTGTGCAAGCAGGTTTGTTTAGTTCAGTTTTTAGTTTAATTCAGTTTTTTAAGAATCTACCTAAATTTGCAAATTTCTTTATATACTGAACAAAGAATTACAGGTTTTAAAAACTTT